TTTTGTTTAAGATTTTTAATTTGGTGTTCATTTAGGTAGTTTGTTATTCTTTGGGATATTGGGGTAAGTAAGGGGTGTTTACGAGATAGAGCTTGGTTTTTGGGGCTGATATTTTGGTTTATTAAGTTTTGGATTAGAGGGTTTGATTGGGATGCGGCCCAGAAATTTAAGCTTAGCTGTTCCCTGCGTAGACTTAGTGGCATTTCTCCTGTTAAGGCCTGAAGTGAAGTGTAGGAGGTGCCATGTTGGGTGCGTGTAATTAGTTTGAGAGCCTGATATTGTATTGAGTCAAGTTTTTTAGATAGAGAGTTGTTTAGGGTGTTGTATATGGCGCAGCCGTAGTCTAGTTTTGATCTAATTAGTGATATGTAGAGAGAGAGGAGGGTATCTTTGGAGGCTCCCCAGTTTGAGCCAGTGAGGCATCTTAGGGTGTTTAGGTCTTTACTGCATTTAGTTGTTAGGTTTTGGATGTGAGCATCCCAGGTGAGATGTTCATCGAAAATAAGTCCTAAGAATTTGGTTTGTTTTTGAAATTTGATTGTTTGGTTGTTTAGCTGGAGGATTGGGGAGGCGGGTTTCATGTTTTTATGTTTGAATACTATTCCTGTTGTTTTTTCTGAGTTAAGGGAGAAGCCCCATTTGTCAGCCCATTGTTGTATTTTATTAAGAGATTTTTGGAGTAAATTTTGGGCCATATTAATGCTTTTTGTGCGGATCCAGAGGGCGCCATCATCCGCGAATTTGGATGTGTTTATTTTAGGGGATAGGCCCTCGAAGAGATCGTTTATCATTATATTAAAGAGTGTGGGGCTGAGGATACTGCCCTGGGGAGTGCCATTTTCTAGGGGACACTGGTCCGATAGAGTATGGTCTATCCCCACTGTTATTTTACGTTCGTTTAGAAAGTCCTGAATGTAGTTTATTATTTGTCCTTTTAGTCCTATTTTTTTAAGTTTTTGTATTAGCCCGTTGTGCCAAACCATGTCGAATGCTTTGGAGAAATCCAGAAAGATGCCTATTGTGTATTGTTTGTTGAGTTGTCCTGTCTTGATGTCCTGTTCTAGTCGGGCGAGATTATCTAAGGTTGAGCGGCCAGGAGTGAAACCGCTTTGATCTGTGTTTATGATGTTATTTTGAGTTAAGTAGTGTTGTAGTCTATTTTTGGCCATAGATTCCATTACTTTACATAGGTTTGAGGTTAGGGATATTGGTCTATAAGAATTTGCCTGGTTAGTTGGTTTATCGGGTTTAGGGATAGGGATGACTAGTGCCTGTTTCCAGGGAGTTGGTACCTGTCCGTTTTGATAGATTAGGTTATATAGTTTAAGTAGTGCCTGGAGTAGGTTGGGGGGGAGTTTTTTGATTATTTGGTAGGATGTTAGGTCTAGTCCTGGGGCAGTTCCCTTTTTCCTATTTTGGAGTACGTACTGGAGTTCTTCCATTGAGTAAGGTTGGTTTATTTCGAGGTTATCATTATTTGGTTCTTTAGTAGGTTTGGTTTCTGCTTTAAGTTTTTGTTGGAATTTTTCGCTGAAGTTATTGTTGCTGCTTATGGCCGAGAAGTGGTTTGCTAGGTTATTTGCCTTTTCGGTAGGGTTCGTTGAATTGTTTATGTTGGGTGTTTTTTTGTGACGTTTTAAGCCTCTAATGGCGTGGATTTTTCGCCAGACTGTTCTGGCATCTGTGCGATTATTTACTCCTTCACAAAATAATTTCCAATCTTTGGTTTTAGCTATTTTGACTAGTTTTTGGACCTTGTGGTTTAGTTCGTGAGCTACCGTTATATGGTTATGGTCGCGTTTGGCTCTATTGAAGGCTGTTTTACGTTTGCGTCTAGTTTGTTCTATTTCCTCGTTCCACCATGGTACCGAGGGTTTGCCTACGTTATTTGTTTTATAAGGTATTGATGCTTTGGCTGCGTTAATTATGTAGTCTGTTAGGTTTTTGCAGTAGATTTCTGGGTCCTTATTTTCTAGTTTGGTTAGGTTGGCTTGGTTGCAGATATCCTGAAATTTGTCCCAGTTAGCTTGGTTATAGTTGAATTTTGGTTCTAGGTTTTCTGTTTGGGTAGGAACGTTTGTATTGCCTATGGTAATGTTTATAGGGAAGTGGTCACTACCTAGTGGGGCGTCGTGAACTTCCCATTGAGTACTTTGGGCCAGATCTGGGGTGCATATGGTTAGGTCGATAGCCGACATTTTAAGGTTTTTCTTATCGTATCTAGTTGGTTGGTTATTGTTTAGGAGTACAAGGTTATTTGTTTCTATCCATTCAGAGATTAGTTTGCCATGATTATCTATTTTTTCATCTATGCTCCAGGTGGGGTGGTGAGCGTTAAAGTCTCCTAGGAATATAGTTGATTTATTGCTTATTTGCAGTAATTTGTTTAGGTCCTCAGCTTGAATTTTTTGTTCTGCCCAGTGGTATATGTTAATGATGTTTATTTTTTGGTTTTTGAGAGTTATTTGGATGCCGTTTGCTTCTAGGTTTGGTGTGTTTATTTTGATTTCTTCATAGTTAATGTCTTCTCTGATTAGTATTATTAATCCTCCTGCGGCTCTAGCGGTTTTAGGTTTGGCTCGGTCTGTTCTAACTGAGTTGTAGTTTGGTAGAGTGAATTTAGATTTTTTTGAGAATTTGGTTTCTTGGATACAGGCAATGTGCGGACCCTTATCTTGTTTAAAATTTGCTTTTAGTTCGTGGCCGTGGGAATTTAGTCCATTGGCATTCCACTGAAATATGTTTAGGCCTTCCATTATTTGGGCTTTTAGTGTTTGGAGGTTAGGTTTTGATTTAGGCTAGGGGTTTTTACTTGGTTGAGGTAGGGCTAACTAATTCGAGGCCTATGCTGAAGAATTCGTAGGTAAGGGTTGTCAGTTTAAGCTTATTTGCTACGGTATAGAAGGCTTTAGTGCTAGCGTTTGGGTTTATTTCCTTTAGCATGTATGCGAGAAGGATGGTTAAGTTGTTTAGTTTGTTGTTTGATATTTGCTGAGGCCTGTGTTTAAAGGTTTTGGTTTTTTGGGGGGTTGAGAGAGTTATTTCGTTTATGTCTTCCTCGGTTGTGCATTCATATTCTTCTGTGTTGTTAAGTTTAGTTTCCTCACATTCCATGGGGGTGGTTTGCGTGCGTGCTTGTGGTAGTGGTCTGGATGTGGTTTCCTTACTGTCTAGGTTTTCGGGTTGTGATTGCTTGGGATCGGTTGTTGTTGCCATAGCGGCTGTGGTTTGTATGGTGCCGGGTTGGGTTGTGGTGGGCGTATTGTTGCTTGTTTTGCGTGCAGGTGTGGATGTTGTGAATGTGCTAGTGGAGGGTTGTGGGATGGACGTGTGGTGGATGTGTGTTTTGGGTGCTGGGTGTACTCTTTGCAGGATGCCATCCCATGCCGAGTTTAAGTGTGGGGTGTTGTTTGGTTGTGGTGTGGGTAGCAGAGGTTGTTTTGTATGCTGTGATTGTCTTTTTGTTTGGAGTTTGGCCGTGTCGATATTGATGTGTTTGTTGGCCTGTTGTGTGAGGGTGTGTCTATGAGGGCAGTGGTTGGATAGTGAGGAATGTTGTATGCTTTTACAGTGTATGCACCAGGGTGTGCATGTCCCTGGGCAGTCAGTTTGGGCGCATTTCCTGCATTTAGTTTTTTGGAATTTACATTGATTGGCTGTGTGGTTGTATTGGAGACAGTTAGAGCATTGTTTAACTTGTTTTATGTATGGTTTGACTTCTAATTTAGTGGTTGCTCCGAAGGAGATAAATTTAGGTGCTTCTGGATATTTAGCTGATTTTTGGAAATTGATTATGACTATTGGTGTGTTTGAGATTTTACCGTTTCTATTTGAAGTTATTCTTCGGGTGCTAGTTATTTTAGGTTGGGGGTACATATCTTGGTTATCGTTAGCGTCTTGTGCGTACATGTCTAAGTCTTCGTTGTTTTCTTTAGGATTTACTCTGATTACGCCCCTAGTGAATAGCTGCCAGTTTGGGGTTTGATGAGTTACTGTGTATTGGAAGATTTGGGTGATTTTTTTGGCTGCGTTTAGGGAGTCCTGGTCTGGGAAAATTATTTGGAAACCTTTGTTAGCCTCTTTAATTTTGTCGAAGTGAATTTTGTGCTGTTTGAACCAGATTCCTACTTTATTGGCTGTGAGACATTTTGAAAGGACGTTTATGGGGCCTGTAGCGCAAAAGTAAAGGGCGAATGTGGTGATGATGGATGCGGGCGACGTGTTTGGTGGTGGTTGTGTGTTGGAACTGTCCAGCTTCCTTTTTTTGGTGTTTGTTGTGGGGATCGGCGATACGGCTGTTTTGATGGGTGAAGCTACTGGTGATTTGGAGCCGAAACCGTCAGGTATGAGTGGGATGGATGTCCTCCCGGAAGTGTTGTGGGCTTCCGAAGGTGTGGGTGATTCTGTTTGGTGGATGTCTGCCTGGGTAGTGTTGCGGGAGTCGGACATGTTTTGCGGCTAGTGGGGTGAGGTGAGTGGATGTGGTGAGTGTGTTTGTGTGGAGTGAGTTGGTAGTGAGAGTGTGTTTTTAGGGAGTAGGTGGTGGGTACTGGTTGAGAAGGTTTGTTGAGATGTGTTTAGGTTTTTGAGATTGTTATTTAGGGGTTGTGGATTATCCTATTGTTTACCTATGAGGATTTTTAGTGTTTTTGTGGATTTGCGGGCTTGGGTGTGAGAAGATTTAAGAGAGAATGTGGGTGTGTGTTTTGATAATTACCTCCTCTGCTGGCTATCAGTGAAACTGTGCTGGCTTGGGAGGCTTTGCTGGGTGAGGTTGGCTTGGTGGCTGGTTGGCTTGGGTGGCTTGGTAGGCTGGAGAGGTGTTGCTAGCTTGGAGTACAAACTGCGACTGCCCTGAGTCTACCCCAGGTGTCAAGCCCCCTTATATTTGCCGCGCCAACCGACCTCTGACCTCTTCCCGTACTTACACTAGACGCGATTGGTCAACAATCCGCCCGTCACCCAATCAGAACGCTCCTATCAAACGCACTGACCGGAACTTGAAACCAAAATGCACCCACGTGCCGACCATGCGATAGGAACCCAGCTGGGAATAAACATTTCCCCCATTCCACGACCAATAGGTAAGTTATAAAGAAATATAAAGGTGGTAAATTGACTACGAGTCACCGGGAGTACACGGCATAAGTTACGGTATTCTTTTTAATAAAACAGTAGTTAATATTTTCATTTTTGAAAATACGTTTCTGTCACATATGTGATAATATCTTAGTTCTACAGATTCACTCAAATTGTATTGAATAAAACATGTCAGTGTTATTTTGTATTTCCACCTAGCATTAAACTATTTTGTTATTTCTAACATGAATACTACATCCCCTATTGTATACTGCACTAACTGTATAGTGTTCATTGCTCACACACAACAAATCTAGTCAATATAGTGTGACTTATTTTCACGGTCGTCGCTATTTTACACACTTTTCGAGACAGTGTGTTAGCGTTAGTTTAGACTATCGCGCTTTTCAAGGGAGACAACTCAGCGCATGTGTCCAATTCGCGTCTTATATTGCAAGCTAATTAAACTCAGCCAGTTCGCGTGTTTTAAGACTGCTTATGACACTATGATAAAAGGACATGCCATCAATTTTCCGCTATTAATCAGCGCATATATCGTCAGTTGAGTGGTCATGTCGTTTATGTGTTTACGTTAGGCGTGGCGGACGTCATATGTTGTATTGAGACGGTAGTCATGCGATAAGTTTGTCTGACATTTATAGACAGAACCCAGCTACCGTAATGTTTTCGATATTACCGGCCATGTTCTTTGAACACTTTTCTTCCCATATCTGCATATTTTGTTTTCCCACATTGCGAGGCATATGTAATTTTGTTTAAGTAAAATAGGCGTCATTATTATTTTAGAAATCAAATGGTTGCTCGTTTTGCAAAGAATAGTTGATTTTATCTTGATCTGCTTCACAGTTCTGATTTTTTCCCATTTGTGTAAATTTTTCAAAGTTGTGATTTAGAAAGTTTTAATCAGACATCACATAGCATCTTGTACCGACAGTTAATAATATGAGCAATATAATGTATCTTTATACCCAGTAAACATCTCGTCATGGCCTAATGTAATTTTAAAACCTCAGAATGTTAGAAAATAAGTAGGTTTATAAGTACAAAATATTGCTTCTAATTGATTCATATTTTGAATATTACTTCAGATTAATATTATAATGTTCCACATGATAATTATATTGAGACTTTTATCCTAGGTTATGTATTATTAAACACTGGTTATAGGCCTATCTATTTTGTTTCAATTTGAAAGAGTTTCTTCAAGTGACTTATTATGGGACACTTCAAAGAAAGACTGCATTAAAACATCAAACAGAAAATAGGTTATTAGTATTGAAATAGGTTACTAGTAGTTTACAATATTCAGCTTAGGCAAACTCTTTTTTCTTAATTTCTAAATTAACAGTCAAATATGACCAATTCTATTAATATTTCTGATCAGATGTTATTGTATTCTTCATTCTTCACAAAGTATATGACACTTTAGATGTACATAACATTTGTATGGCAGCACATTATGTCTTCAATGTAATTTCATTACGACATAAATACATCATTGTCATTCTGTTAACTGTTTGAATGCCTATCAGATATGCCCCTAAAGGCCATTACTACAAACATTGCATAACTCTGGCATCATACCCAAACTCCTTTCAATATTTTATTAAGGTCTCAACATTGTTATAAAAAAGTCTATGTACCCCCATGCTTTCTGAACATCTACCATCTGTTTCACTTTGTGCCTCATCATGAAATAGGGTAATGCTAATGTTATAACCTGAAGTTACTGTTCAAATCTGGCAGAAAAAAGTCTTTATGTGAATCACTGTCAAATAGTCAAAAGAAGGGAACATGATAGACTGCCACACACAGTTTTAGAATATAGCAAAAGAAGAAAAAAATATATTTTTCACACTGTCATTAAAATATGCAAGCATCTGGATATCCACGACTTTATATCTATGCCAGGCTCAACTCAGTAAGTGACATCTCTTAAAATAAAACACTCAAGATAATAATTGGACGTACTTGTTTTGAACACCTCTGGAATGATACATCAAATCCTCAACATGGAAATATACTACTCAGTTACCATATGTTTAAAAAGACATCTTGTCCCTGAACTTTACTTGCAAAGCATTATATATGTCCATAAATCTCAGGAAATATCTCCCCAGACTATGTGTGGAAGCCTCACTCTACACGTGGAGACAGGTCGGCACAATGCAACCCCCATCCATGAGAGCTCAGAACTTGTTATTTGTGTAAAAAAAAAGAGGAAAAAGAAGTTCATTTCCTTTCTGAGTGTAATTTTTAGAAAGACCTAAGATACAGTATTAATTTATCTTGTTACAATTCTACAATGCCTAACCCACATTTTTTTATTAAACTGTTGTCTGAAAATAATCCTAAGTGCATGAAATTATTTCAAATGTATTACTTCTATAATAAGAAACATGTTTTTAAGACGACAATTATTCATGTGATACTTGCATTGTTTATTGTTCTACATCATTTTATGACGATTATATCATTGTGAATAGTTTTTTACTGTGCAAAATGTCTTCAATAAGTAGTATCTCATCAGCCAAAATATGGCACGATGTTAAACATGTTTTACTTTGCTTTGAAAATCTTTACCTTCGCATTTAACTTGTCACACTTTTATAAACTATATGTCTGTCTGTCCTATTAGTTGGCCATATGAATGATGGGATTTTAAAGTAAACTGCTTGGGATATGGTAAGATAATATTTCCAATTTCTTCAAATTATATCTATTTTCAAAATATCATGAATATACATTATGTAAACTCTCAGATACAAATCCACAATTTGTAACAAAAAGAGCAAATGTCATCACAAACTAACTTCATTTTCAACAGTTGTCTTTTAGCATGTTTAGCACATTGTAGATCTTGAAATTAATACATCTCCAAATTAATACGACTGCTGACCCCTAACCTTACATACTTACTTACTAAAATTGGGAATTTAATGTGCACTTTCCAACATATGCGTATTTCGTGCAGGGGCCTGCCAGGCCATTTAGTGATTGGTTGAAAAGAGTATGTCCGAAAAGGTGAGGTAACCTAGGGTGCTTTTTTAGGGTTGCTGACTGAATTTGGAGAACAAATTTGGAATATTGAAATATGCCATACAAAAAGGGTGGGGGTTGGGACTAAATGGAGTTTTGTGATTTTGTGTGTTTTTATAGGTTTAGAATTTTAGTATTTATGGACAGCTTGTTTGTTGTACTTTTTTAGATGCGTCAGAGTTGGCCTGTTTTGATTAGATAGATGCCAAGTGCTTTGAAAGTTTGTAAGTCATTTAGGGGGTTTAGTAGCATTGCTAGTGTCATTTGATTGTTGCAGTTTAGTGTGGATTGGAGTGTTCTGTGTTGCTGGTAATGTGTGCAATATAATATAACATGTTCAGGAGTTTCTTTTTAGTTGCAGTGGGGGCATTTACCAGTTTCGGGTTTTTTAATTTGATGTAGGTGGGAGTTAACTTAGTGTGGCCTGTTTGTAGTTTAGTTATTACTCTGTCCATGTTTTTGGTTTTATGATGGATTTTTGTTTGTTTGAGTGACTTTTGTAGCAGGTGTTTTAGTTTGCAGTCAGATTTCTTATGGTTATTTTGCCACTTTTGGAAGATTTTCTCCTTTGTGATACTTTTAATTTTTGGATATTGGTAGGTTGATGCTTACTTTTAATTTTAGTGCTGATTTTGCTGCTTTGTCTGTGTGTTCATTGCCAAGATTGTTGGCCCTTTTAATCATCTGTTATATTAGTTATGGGCGTTTTTTTTTTGTTTTTATTTTTATGACCTGGAGCCCACTTAATGAGTCTGAAAGGATTAGGGTTTTTCGGTGTCTATTTATTTGATCGCTGTGCAGAGCTGTTATTATCCCCGTTAATTTGGCTGTGATAATTGATTGATTATTTGGGAGCCTATAGGATTTTATTTATTTTTTTGGTTTGTCGATATGGATGCCGAATCCTGTGCTTTTTGAGCCCGGGTCAGAGGACCGATCTGTGTAAATGTGGCACCAATTTGGCCATTTTCATGAATGTATGCTAGTGTGGTTGGGTTTGAAGGTGTTATTTGGTGCTGTGTCTAGTTTTAAATTATTTAGGTTGTGTGTATTTAGGTAATTTATTATGCGATTAGAGATAGGTGTTAATTGAGGGGTTTTGCGAGCTAGAGGTTGGAGTCTTGGGCTTATGTTGGTTTTAAGTATTTGTTGGATTTGTGGGTTTTGTTGGGTTGAAGCCCAGTAATTTATTGTTGGGTGTTCTCGGCGTAGATCCAGGGGTATTTCGCCTGTTAGTGCCTGCAGCGATATGCGTGGCATGTTATTATTTTTAGTGCTCAATATTGAATTGAGTTTAGTTTATCGCCTAATGAGGAGTTTAAGGTGTTGTGTATTTGGCATCCATAGTCTATTTTTGATCTAATTAGTGATTTGTAAAGTGATAGTAGGGTCTCCTTGGAGGCCCCCCAGTTGGAGCCTGTCAGGCAGCGTAGTGTGTTCAGGTCTTTAGTGCATCTATTTGTTAGGTTTTTAATGTGAGCACCCGAGGTGAGTTGTTCATCACAGATTAGTCCAAGAAATTTGGCTTCTTTTTGGAATTGTATGGGTTTTTTGTTTGATTGTAGTTTGGGGGTATTTGCACGCATATTTCTGTGTTTGAATGCTATCCGTGTAGTTTATTCAGCATTTAGTGAGGAGCCCCATTTATTTGCCCATATTTGAATTTTACTTAATGCATTCTGCAGTATAATTTTAGCCATATTTATGCTTCTGTTGCGGATCCAGGGGGCTCCATCATCCACGTATTTGGAATTTTGAATTTTATTGGGTATTTCCTTGAATAGGTCATTAATCATAATGTTGAAGAGTGTTTGGCTTAGAATGCTACCTTGGGGTGTCACATTTTCTAAGGGACACTGGTCGGATAGCGTTTGGTTGACACCCACGGTTATTTTGCAAGTAATTAGGAAGTCTTGGATATCGTTTATTATTTGGCCTTTGATTC